GAAATTTAATGGTTTCAATCTGCCCTTGTTCTTTCTTTTTGTTTTTTATTTTTGCATGTTATCACTGTGCCCGTTTTTTGCTTTTATTCTTTGTTCCGCAAAGTGCGCTCTTTTAGTTTGTAGTGATGTGACAATATATATATAGATGGGATGTTCCTAATGTGTCAATGGTTATGATGTGCTGTCTGTTCTGGTTGCAGTCTCAGTCATTGATTGACAACCCAGACCAGAGAATTGTTGATGACATCAAAAGATTTACCTATACGGCACTCGGATTTTCCTTGTCGGTCTTCAATTCATTAATAGACCTCGTCTCCTTCAGCGGGATACTGCTTGGGATCTATCCGCCGCTGTTTTTCGTCCTGATTGTCTACTCGCTTGGGGGCACAGCTATCAGTGTTGTGCTTGGGAAGGTACGTTATATTCTGTTATTCTTTTCAAGGGTGTCAAATTGTCAATGGCTTTGATGCTTAAAATCACCATGCCCTCTTTTGTCAATTAGTATCTTTTCACTTTATTAGCCAGTAGAGGACAATTGCGAAATTTGGATTCTAGCTCGGATACTAGTTCGGCAACGTGACATAGTATAGACAAAGTAGTATAAATCACTTGGCTGTAATAGAGCTAATCCTCAATCTGAGTGGCGTATAAGTGGAAGGGTTGAGTCCTCAACAGTGTTTCGTTGAGGGGAGGTGATGGAGAAGTCGATAGCGCCATGATATGTAATTCTCATGTCATCTTCGTCCATTAAATATATTTCTCGTGGCTGCAGGATGGGCCTGCTACGTGCGGTCTTGTCAACACTGGTATCCTTATGCATATGTCATGTCTCCCATGCGGTTCTGATTGATGATGGTCCCTGCATCATCCACTTTCTTCCTTGTTTTTTTTCTACTTTCTCGGTTTTCGAACTTTTCGTCACTTTTCTCAGTATTTTTGTCTGTTCCAATTTTTGTCCGGTCTGGATGCGAATGATCGTGGGCATGGCGACACTCTTCTATGTATGAGTCGCAATGCCCATCCCCATTGTGTCCATGGTAATGGATGCATGTTTCTATCCTGAGTCCTGAATCCTGATGTGTCGCATCCTTGTTTAAAAAAAATCAGTCTTCAGCTGCACGACACGGTCGTTCTCCACATTGGTGTATCCTTCATTCTGCGCCATGTGTATCTGTTATTTGTAGGCATGTGATGGCAGCACTGGTGGGCACACCAGTTGTCGTTTGTTTTTTTTTTTGTTTTTTTTTTTGTTTGGATCTGTGAGAGATGGATTGTGAACGTTGCACATCACCGTCATCCCATCACATTTCATTGTTTGGCATCGGTTGGTTGCAGAGTCTGGTGCGTCTCTTTTTTTTTTTTTTTTTTTTTTTCCCCAACAACACAAGGCCCCTTCTATTCTGGGGGGCAACAGTCCGGTTGCTTATCACCGGCAAGCATGTTGGTAACATCCAAGGAAGGGGGGATCTCAGATCAGAGAAGGGGAACAGTGTAACCCTTGTCGCATTATTTGCCTGGCAAGGGAGCAGCTGCAAAAGGGGGCCCAACCCCTCAAAACCCCATGGTCTTTCTCCAGGGGCCACCCTGCTGGCCGGGAGGCTTACTAGCAGCACCCAGACGTCCAGCAGGATGGCCCTCAGAGAGGAGGGGCCTCCCCTGCAGTTCCTCAGGCCGCCTATACAAACCTGCACGTTACTATGTCATCCCTTTCCAACTTTTCATGCACGAGTTGTTTTTTTTTTTTTTTTTTTTTTTTGAAGATCAGTGAGAGATGGATTTTAAATGACAAAATGTTGCGCATGGCCATCATCCCATAACATTTTTTGTTGTTGGGCATCGGTTGGTTGCAGAGTCTGGTGCGTCTCAATTTCATGCAGGAGAAACGGGAGGCCGACTTCCGATATGGGCTAGCACGGGTTCGTGAAAACGCAGAGTCCATTGCATTCTACGGAGGAGAGGGCAATGAGATCGACATCCTTCTTGAAAGGTTCAAGCTGTCTTTTCAGAACTACATGGTATGAGACTCAGTGAACCTTTAAAATTTAAAAACTCAATAAAAAAAAGTGTATCGGTCGGTAACTAATTCATTAAAAAATACTAAAAATTAAAAAAATGAAACAAATTTAAATAAAATTATTAACAAAAAAAGTTGGAAAAACGCACTTTTTAGTTTTATGTGGTCGTTTGAATCAATTAACTTAGATTCCTTGTTCATCGACTTCAGTCAATGAACAACTGTCACCAGTGTTGGCTGGATTTAGGCTCACCACTGTCCCACCAGAGTTCAGATGGACGAAGGGAACAAGTCCGAATAACGCTATGATCCTGTCCGACGTGTCGTTTTTTGGAAATTTCAAGCTGTATTTCATTCATCTGAATCATCACCGATTCAAATTTTAAACACAAGAGAATTTTGAATCTCAATGTTTTTACTACTTTTTACTAGTTTTTACCTTTTCAAGTTTTATCAACACTTTTGTAATTGGAGTTGTTTGGATGGGTTTTTCACCCTGAGGTATTCCTGTAAGTCCACCATGAAGATGGATAATGATATTAAATTATTAATGAATCAGTGATAGGTTGGTGATGTGGCAATGCGAATCCAGACTCTCTCCGACAGGTCAGAGAAGGGTTGTGG